AATAACAAGATGGAATGGAGCAACTGGATGTGTACACTACAACAGGGGTAGCAAGAGGACAGAGATACTGACGCACCGTGTATGACTTCGCTTCACTTTTCGTTGCGTGGCAATCGGCGCTGGTTTGAGGTCAGAGGGGTCAGACGTGTCGTGTCCACACGAGTCACACGCTCCTTAGGGTAGATAGTCGACGCGCGTGCTATCGATTCAGCTGGTAAGTTGATAAGCAGCGATGCAGCGTAGGATTGAGGCAAAGCAAGATGATTTGGAAAATACTGTCTAATGATGAGAGTGGCTGTTTTAAGGGCGGACCAAATTGGAACTATCACTTTGTACAGCCAATAGAAGGAATGGTGGTAAGATGTTCGCGTGACTCTCAGGAAGTCTTCAAAGTAAGACCACGAGAGTATCTGTGCGACGAAAGAAAATATAAATTTTCTGATAAGATTCAAGCACGGTTGATTCGAAATTGCAAAAGCACAGATTGCTGGTGACCTGCAAATGACAAATCCAAGAGATGAACAGTGGTAGGAGGAGCTCGTGGAGCCAAATGCAATGATAGCACATAGGTCTCCGCGAGAATAAATCGGAAGTTCGGTGTCGGAATTTAAGAAATTCCTGGACAAACACTATGCTGATATCCAATATATCGAGCGTATTGCAACATAACGGTTCTTTGTCCCTGAGTGACATTACATGCAGCTACACAGAGATACCACTTCTTGCTGCTTCCAAACAGTAATCAGTAATCACGCCTCCGGGTGATGGACAAAATTCTGGTGGAAATGACCAAGGATGTGTTTTCAGCACGTGATTTTCTTGATGATCTGACAGCGAGGCATTTATTCACTGACGTTGAAGTAAAATTGGCATTGCATTATGGATCAGTAGTATTACAGTCAGCCTGGAGGGTAAACCATCCGAGGAGAAATTCCAAGTACTTATTTCCCTGTATTAACTTAAATAGCACAATAAGAAGACGAATCTTGCAATATGGTACCACTTCGGGCCTTCTGTTTACTTGCAAAAGCTCAACATATCAAATCATAAGGTGAAAACAAAAGCAATCAGTTCAACTCGGAAGATCACATGCATGCGAAGTAAACAGAAGCTACAGGTTGAGGAAGTATCATTAGCTCCAAGGGAGTTGGAGCGTAACGAACAGATGCTTCTGGACACACAATGTTGGACGACGCTATTTTATGGCCACTGCCTGTACAAAGTTGAGGACTGTGGCGTTTGTTTTACGAATCGAAACCATCATGAAACGTCTGGCCGATTATCAACTAGCTTAAACTTTGAACCAGTTCTAGTTCCGCTTGTGATGTTGCCTATTCGCTTCGAGAGATTGACCAAACAGAGTTTTAAGTGGTGCCGCCACCTGAGTATCATTGTCTTCCGTTCGGAGGATTTCGAAAATGTACACCCAGGATAGTTGCCAGTTCTTTCCATTCAATGAGGTCGAAGAAAGTTTATTCATGTTTCGTAAATCCCATGGAAAGGTATTTCGCTCTTCATCATTTTCGAGAGATCTACGTTGGTCCTTTAGCCAGCTTTCTTTCCTGTCCTATCAATGAGAGTTTTACAAAAGTTCATGTACTTGATTCGACAGACTAAGAAAATGATCGACAATGGACTTAGCAGTTCATGTAACTCTAATACAAGTGATAGCATTCCGTGGCCTCCTCCAATATGAATTGGCAAGCCGTTTAGGTTATGCGAGTTGGCCTCATCTTATCCTCGCAGCAATTTAACAACCGTTGAGGGTATTTAGCGTTTTCCTTGCACTCACAGAGAAAACAAATACGTCTTTTAACCGCACCAATCTTGCACTTTAAAGTTACCAGGCGATCACGAAGTCGAATCGTTTTAGTCAGTAATCTTCATCTTGGAAAGTTGCAGCACTAAGTTCCGTGTATTAACTTGAATAGAATAATAAGAGAACGCACGATGCAAGATGGTACCATTTCGTGTCCTCTGTTCCCTTGCAAACGCGCAACATATCATCTATGGGAACGCAGACGCCTCAGTCCTCAACCATGTCCAGGCAGTGGCCATAAAATAACATCGTCCAACATTGTGTGTCCAGAAGCATCTGTTCGTTACGCTCCAACTTCCTTGGAGCTAATGATACTTCCTAAACATGCTGCTTCCTTTTACTCCGCTGGCATGTGACCTTCCGAGTTGAAATGATTGCTGTTGTTGTCGTCTTATCATTTGATATCTTGACCGTTTGCAAGTAAACAGAGGGCACGAAACGGTACCACCTAAGGAGAAATCAGGAAGCATCAGTAAAATTTTAAAAATGGACGCCACTCCCATATTTATTTCTTCAGGGAAAACTCAGAATAACAAACCTAGGGTATGGAGGAAAGAAGACTTAAGTCTGGGACCCCAGACTCTGCCAATGGTCTTGATGGGTACTTGCTTTCTTAGAAGAGGATCTTAAACAGTTTAAGCCATTTGAATGCTTTTATGATGACTCTGTTATTGACCACATGATAAGGCAGACAATGGAGTACGCCTTCACAAAACTGACCACTCATTCATTATAACAACGAGTGAAATGCGTGCCTTTTTAAACATTCTGTTTGTCTCTAGCTATAATTCATTACCATGAAGGCAAATGTATTGGGATCATGAACAAGATGTTTACAATGGAGCAATCAGTCAAAAATGAATCGGAAGGCCTTTGACATAAGCATGAAGTACTTCCTTCTGGCAGAGGACAATAGAAAGCTCCGAGAAGATAAACTGGTCAGTACAAAACGCCCTACCATTCAACGTAGACAAATGTCCCACTGCGCAATTACGCCATAGACATAACTACACATATTTGCTTGGGACAAACGGATTGCAGACCAGCTCCCAGGAACGTGACCTTGGTGTGATCGTACAGAGCGACCTCAACTGTTCAAAACAGGCTGAGGTAGCTGCGAAAAGAGGCAACCAGCACGTCGGCATGCTGCGAAGGGCATTCGGGAGATTTGACCCATCAATCTTCCCAATGATGCACAATTCCTACGTGCGCCCGCATGTTGAATACGCTATCCAAGCTTGGCAACCTTGGTTGAAGCGCGACCTAGAGGCGTTAGAGGCACCACAACGAAGAGCAACAAAGAATGTAAAGGGCCTGCGCTATCACTCTTACCACCGAAGGCTGAAGTTGCTGGGAATTTTCAGCGGACGCTATCGAAGGCTGCGCGGCGATCTCATATTAGCGTATCAGATATTGTGTGACCCCAACCACGTATGCCGCCATTTGCTGAAACTTAGCCACAACACGCAGCTCAGGGGTAACTGCTTAAAATTGAAGGAACAATATAGCCGTCTAGAGTGTCGACGGAATTACTTTTCCCTTCGGGTTTGCCAACCCTGGAACGCACTCCCAGACTCAGTTGTATCCTCTCCTACCTTGGACGTTTTCAAAAAACGATTAGATGTTGCTCTTAGCTCCCAGCATTTTGTTACCTAAACTCCTCTATTGTGGATTACGCCAAGCATGCTTTTCAACAGGATTTATGTATCAAATGCACAAAGTGAGCGACCATATTTTACTTTTCTCACGCCTTATATCAACGATCACTGCACCCCAGTGTATTTCTGAACGTTTACGCTCGATATTTTTTAATTTTACACTGATGTTATTTATCAAAGTATTCATCTCGGCAGACGTTCGGTAGATGACCCAGATATATTTTGATTTCATCATATTCACCGCAACCATCCTACGGGACGTGTCAAGCACTTGCTTTTATCCCGTGATAAATCATTGTTCATTGTTCAATTTTAGTTAAGCTCGACTACTTTACGACCATCTGAATGAAAGACTTATGATATACTGCCAATGGAAGAAAATCTGTGCGTGGAAGAAAGCACTATACCATAGGGTGGCCATCATGGACTGAAGCAATGTACCATGGGAAATCCTCTTAGATTTTAGTGTAACAGTGGATCATTGCATTATCTCCAGGCTATGCTACGTATCTGGATCGCTACCATGAAGCTCATGCCAAATATGACAAGACATTACGCTTGGGATGGGATTGTTATGGGTTTAGTGGATAAGCTCCCGAATTGACGGTCCTACGACATCATCTTTGACAATCGCTTATGGGCTTGCTGCTCATGAAAGCCTTAAGCAAAAGGGCGTCAGAGCAATGGGAACAGTTCGAGCAAACAAGACAGAAAAGTGCCACTTTGACACGAAGGCTATGGGAAAAGTAAACAGGAGGCAGTTGTGACTACAGTTTTGACAGACGCGATGAGGTGTTCGTTTGCAATTAAAAGATAACTCCATTGTGACTCTTGCCAGCAAGTCTGTTGTTGTATATCCTCCGACATAAGTAAAGGAGTGATCACCGAAGGAGAAACAGTTCTTAGTTATTCAACAACCTGGTGTTGTTAGCAAGTATAACACTTCGATGGGAGGTGCGGATTGATTTGACCAAATTGTCGCACAATGTAAGTTCAATTTTCACAGCAAAAAGTGGTGGTGGCCGCTATTCGCTTTTCTCCCTAACGCTCCATAGGACAATGCTTGCCTTTTGTACAGAAAATTATAAACGAATGAGCAAGAACAGCATGCCATGCTTTCCTTCAAACGAGCTGTCATGAAAGTCTACGTACAGGTGCATGTAGCAGAGACAAAAGTCACACAAAATCTTATTGCACCTAGCAGAAAAAGCCAAAAAGTTGAGGACAGTATCAGAAAATCTTGATCTGGACACCACTTGGAATCAGTGCCGAAACAAGGAAGATGTTGTCACTAAGGAAAGGAGGCTAATCCACT